CACTTACAGCTCTGCCTGAGAGTGGGGAAAGGGGGCCAGGGGATGTGGAAATAACCCCAGGGAGGGTCCTGTGGGGCATCGAGGCAACAGAGAACCTTCTCAGCCCTCAGTGTTCCCAAACTTTCCCAGGGGGGTGGTCCCAACAGCTCAGCGTTATGGACAGCCCAAACCATTCTGGCCCCAATTCCCGGGGCTGGGGCTCTGCCCCCCCGGACTGTCGCTGCTCCGCCGACAGCCCCTCCCGCGGCCTCCAGCCTGGCTTCTCTGTGGGCCCCGTCTGCACAGAAGGGTTTTGTGTGTGGGGTGTTGTTGCACCTTTTCCCCTTCCCTTCGTCTGCTTCTAGACTTGGTTGGGGAGGAAAATGTAGATTTCAGGAAGACTCTGTGGGTGCTCGCAGGGGATGGAGGGCGGGGTTGGATGCAGCACCTTTTGGAGGCATCAGGGGATTCCCCCCCACCTGCGACCCTCAACCGAATTGCAGCCCCCAATTTCTTTTAGGCAAAGGGCCCTTCCCACGCCCTCCCGGAGCTGCTCGCGCCCCGGGGCTGGCGGTCCCCGGGATTTCTCCCTCCTCGTTTCCCCGTCACCCACCTGAGCCGCGCTCCCCACGCGAGCGGCTTCTCCCCCGTGGGCAGAGCGGGGCTGGGGCCGGCCGGGGGGGAAGCAGCCACTGGACCCGGAGCCAGGGCTCTCCTGGAAGAGAAGACACAGAAAGGGTCGGTTAAAGAGCCGGCAGCGCCGGGGGTGTCCGCGCAGCCCCCACGCGTGGGTGTCGGCGGAGCAGCTCTGCAGGGTCCCGGCGGGGCCGGCCTTAACCATTCCCCACCCTCGCTGAGATGGGATTTTAGAGACACAACCACACGCCTTCCCTCTTTTTATTCTCCTTTTCATTAAATCCACATAAAAAAAATATCTAAATTTCTATTTCAGGCTCCTCCAGAAATTATAATTATTTTTTTAACCCGCCAAAAGAAAAAACACGACGAATTTTGCGATTCATCCTGAGAAAGGCTGCAAAGACACGGATTTTGCTTTCAAACTCGGATTCTCCCCGGGATTACCCCGATGACAGTGCAGTTTTAGTTCTAATTTTATTTAATAATAACATCGCGTTAGAGTCATCCCGATCTGGGAGGATTTAGGGAAGGACACGAGCGATTAACAGAAGATGCTCGGATGTATTTTGAGTCTCTTGGCAAATAAAAACCTGTTTGCTGTTTTCCCGAAAAAAAAAAAAAATCCAAATCGCCGGGAAACAGAAGGAACCGCCGCGATCGCGGGATCGCCCCAATAACGGCAAATTTGAGGATTTCCAGCCCTAAAATTTCCACGCACAACAGTGCATAAATAAAAACTTAATTTTCGGGGACTAAAAACGGAGCCGAGCCGGGCAGAACCTGACCCCGTGGGTACCAAGTGGTTTTCTGCAGAGCAGGGAATCCGTGCACGAACTGAAAAATAACCTAAAATAAGCTCGGTTTGATTTTTCCCCGCGCACTCTTTGAGTGCAGCTTCTTCTCCTTCCCCGCGCAGAGGGGAGACTCAAGGACAGACTGCAAGGATGAGGATTTTAAAGACACACACCCAAAAAAAAAAAAAAAAAAAAAAAAAAAAAAAAAAAAAGGAAAGAAAAAAAAGAAAAGGAAAATAAGAACTAAAATACAAGTTTAAAAAAAAAAAAAAATTAAAATAGAAATTAAAACTTCCTTAGCAGAAAATAAAAAAAAGCCGCGAGGGATTTTCCATCGGTGGCAGCACCGGGCGCCCGGGCCCACTGCAATCGAGAGGCGGATTTCGGCCGGGGCGTCACGTCTGGCTCCAATAACTGCTAAAGAAACCCTAAATCCACTTAATTTGGGTACCCTTCGCAGCCTGATGAGGGGGAGCCTTGGCGGGGCCGCCCCACGGCCGGTTATTTACGGCGGGGGGGGTGGCGAGTGATGGAGCGGGTCGAACCTGATTGGGGTGGGGGGAGAAATTTAAGAAATGCCACGCAAGGAGAAGTTTGCGAGGCTGGGGAGGGATCGTGTCCTCTCCGCTCCGCACCCGCTGCGCTCCGCCGCGCACGGAGGACACGTGGAACCTCAGCACCGGCTCTATTCCCACGCGGGTTTAATTCACTCCCAGCCCCATCTACTGGGATTTGCTTGTTCCATAACGGGGTGCGGATCCGGGGAACACTCGGCTCTGCGTATCCCACTCCCTCCCCTCCCAAAATCTTACTCCGGGATGGACGTGACAGGGCCCTCCACTTCCCGGGTCACCCGTGTGCGTGTCCCCACGCGACGCCGCCCACGCTCCGCGCTGCCACCCGGCCCGGCCCCTGTCGGCCCCCTCGGCCTGTCCCGCGGGGAAGCCACTTGCAGGAGCGAGGATTTGGGGGTGCCTCTCCCCCCACCGCGGGCGCAGGGGTGGCTCCACGCCCCGCGAGCATCCCCTCCAGCAAAGCGCAAAGCCCCGTGGCCTGGCGTGGAGGGCAACAATGAGCCCACGGGCGCGCGTGGATGGGGGACGAGGACTGGGAATGGCCGCGTCCTGCCAGGCCTCTCCCATTCCCTGCCCGAGGTGGAGAGGGGGATTCCAGCGGGGCACCCGCACCTCAAAACTGGGTCCTCGAGCCGGGAGAAGGTGGAAGAAGTGAAACCCTCCCTCACTCGGAGTGGGTCTGGGTCATCCGCGGACCGAGAGAAAATCACGGCGGTTCGGGAGACCGCGCTCGGCCGTCCCCAAACTCTCTTAGCTCAGATGCCGGGGTGCCGGGATGGGGGGAGAGGAAGAGGGGAGAGGAAGAGGGAGGGAAGCTCCCCCTGCCCTCGGGGCTTTGGGAGAAACTCCCACCCCGCAGCCGGCCTTTGGTGTACCCGCGCCCCCAGCCCCAAGCAGGAGCTGGACCCGCTCCCGGGGCATCCTCCACCCGGCCCCGCAGCTCTGCCGCCCCCAGCCCATAATAAAGACGCTTTGAGAGTCCCCCCTTCCCCCCGCGTCCGCCCCCCGCCCCCCCGTGCCCCCCTTATTTTTTTTTATTATGGTTTTCTTACCGAGTCCAATAAATCGCGCGGCTCGTCTGGCCTCAGACGTGTTCAGCAACTCAAGCCCCGCCGCTTTTGTTCCGCCAAGTCTCACATTGTTTGTCCGGCTGCGGGGCCGGCCCCGCGCGGCGCGGGAGGCTGCGGGGGCTTCGCGGGGGCTTCACGGGGGCTCCGCGGGGGCTCCGTGCCCCGGCCCGGCCGCGAGTGCGGGGCGGGGGTGGATGAGCGATGGTCGGCCGGCAGAGTCCGGCCCGGCCGCTCCTCGTTCTTTCTCTCGGGTTCCCCCTACTTCTTCACCCAGCTCGGGGCGTCTGTCGGCGGGGGATGCTCCCGTATGGGCAGTGGGTCCTTTCTGCGCTGCCCTCTCTGCCCTGCTCTTCATCCTGCACTGCCTGCCCTCCCTGCATTACCCTGTCTGCACCTGCCTTCTCTGCCTGCACTGCCCTCCTTGCCTTCCCTCCTTGCCTGCCTACCTGCCCCTCCTGCCTGCACTGCTCTCCTTGCCTACCTGTCTGCATTGCTCCGTCTGCCCACCTGCCCTCCCTTCCTGCTCTCCCTGCCTGCCTATCTTGCCTTCCCTCCCCTGCTCTCTTTGCCTGCCCGTTCTGCCCTGTCCTCACCTGTCCTACCCTCACCTGCCCGCCCCCGGCCCGACTCGCCCCCGGGTCCCGCGGCCCGCGGGTCTTCACGGTGGCCCCGAGCCCGGAGCCGCCGCCGGAGGAGCGGGGGCCGTGCCCGGCGTAAGGATATATAGGAGCGGCCGAGGAGCCTCCACGTAGCCGATACGTAAAGTGTACGTGTGAGAGTCAAAAAAAGTTGGGATGCAAATGCGGGGCCGGCTCCATCGCGAGGGGAGGTTCGGGAGGGGGGCTGGGGGAAGGGGGGAGCCGCGCTATTTCCAAGCTTCCTTAACCTCTGGATTGCTCGAAATCGATCAGCAAAGCGCAGCAAGCCTGGCAATTAGGAGCTCATTACCATATATGCAAATATGGCAACCTCTCTCCTCCGCAGCCACGGAGGCGCGGGGGGCGAGAGAACCGCAGCAGGGTTTGGGGTGGGGATTGGGGTGATGCGTGCGGGGGAACGGGGACAAGGAGGGGAAAAGGTTATTTGGGGGTATTTGGCGGGTTTTAAAAGAAAACGGCGAGGTCGCGGGGGCAGAAGGAGCTCGGGAGTGGAGGGGGGGCGCAGACACGCGCGCCCGGGGCCCGCGTGGCTGCTCCGAATTCGCTCCTTAAATCAAATAAAATTTTTCTCCCTTTGAAACAAACTCCGAGCGAGCAGCACGGCCTGGCTGGGGTGTGTGGGGGGGTCCCTCCGCCGACCGAGGAGCCCCCAAAAACCGCACGGTTCCCGCAGCATATATCGGGGATAAGCCGGTACTTCGGGGACACGCGGGGGGCCGGGGCAGGGGCCGGACGGCTCCAGCTCCGCTCCGAAGGAGTGTTTTAAAGGTAATTCCTGACTCCTTGCATTTTATTAATAAAAAACCCCACCATAAAGCGGCGATCCCAGGCGCACGCACTCGATAGCGGGTTTCCTTGTTACCTGCGATTTTATAAGCATCGTAGGGTTTTTTGCTTAATAAGCACGGATTAGGGGCAAAGTCTCCCTGGCATTTCCTGAAGGCTGATTAAAGCCGGGGGGTCATGGCAGGAGCAGCGCGGGGAGCGGGTTTTTTCCGCGGTGTGGCTCGGGGTGGGGGCATCGCAGCGTCTCCCTCAGTGGCACATCATGAAGTTCCCCCCGGCTTCCCCCTCGACTGGGGAATTGACTTTGTTTTCCTCCTTCCACAAACCCTAATCACGGCGTATTAAAGAAGAATAATGCCCGTTTCAAGCTGGGCTCCAATATTCTACCCTGCTCTAGATTATTTTTAATTTTTCCCGCAAATAAATAACATTTTCTCTCTTTCAGCCGCCACCCAAACCCCCAAATAACGAGAAAGAACTGAAATCAGGAAACGATTCCTTAGTCTGAGCGTGTTTTGCGGCTTGGTTTAAATACTAAAAATATAGAAAAAATAGTCAAAGTGAACAAAACATTCCCAAGGGCTCTGGGGGGCATGGGGGTGGCAGCAGCCCAGCCCCGGGGACACCGCAGCATCCCCGCAAGCCCGGCCGGCTCCGTGTGCCCGAGCCCGGGTTATTCCTGCTTGCAAGCGCAACAGTCGTGGGGACAGAGTTAATTGCGTGGATCTTTTTCCTTCTTTCTTTCCAGTTTTTCGAATTTATTCTTATTTTATTTTATTTGGGGAAAGCTCTTTTCAGCCGTTGCATTCGCACCTCGGCAGCTGAGCCGCTTTTCTCAGCCCCGTCTGGGTCGCTGCTCTCTGCGTTCCTCTACCCTCTCCCTCTTTAATTCCCGAGTCACCAGGATTTATTTTTACAATAATAAATTTTTTCCCATTCATTTTTTTATTCCGAATGGCCAGAACCGGGAACAGCCGCGGCCCCGGGCAGAGGGACCGTCTGTCACCCCGAGCATCTCCGTCCGTCCCATTCTATAGTTTGATTTGGTTATTATTTATATTTGAGGAATTCAGCCGCCTGTTCCTGCAAACCTCCCGTGAGCTTCGAAATGCAGAGAACACTATTTAGAAAGGAAATTAAAAGAATTAAAATTCCTTTTCGGTTTCCTCTCTCTTGGCAAATTCACAGCTACCGACGACCAACGAGATGAAGCGTTTTCCCTGCAGAAATCATCACTCCAGCTCCGAGACCCTCTGGCATCACTTCCCCGCCCGCCAGCAAGGACGGCGGCTTCGCCCACCAGCTTATGCAAAAAAAAAGAAAAAAAAAAAAAGGTGGATTATTGTTTTTTCCCTCCTTATCCCGAAGTAACAATTAAAGAAAGTGGGGACCTTTGCCTTCTGCTGGGACAGACCTTGAATTTTTTTTTGGGTGCCGCTCTATCTTACCTAATACTGAACTTTAAAGAGGAGGGGTTGGAGCAAAGAGAGAGAGAAATTTTTTCGGAATTCCCTCGGCATTGCAGGCTCCTCCAGTGGAAGGTACGCAGCCTTTCCCTCCAGCCCGTTTTGTGCCCGTCTCATCTCACATTTATTTTTCCAGCGCCAGGCGCTGCCACAGGGCAAAGAAAGGGTCGTTAGTGCCGCAAAATGGGCGCTTTAAACTTATTTTTAAAGCGAGTTTCTGCCGGAAGGCAAATCCCGGGCTGCGGCGGCGGGGGCGGTCAGTCTCGGATAATCCAGGAGGATTTTCACCTCGGAAAACCGGGATTTTCGGCGGTGGGTGTCCCGGGGGAGGCAGACGGGCAGGGACCCGCGTAACCCCCGCCGCCGCTCCCGGTCCCGCGGCACTTGGGCTCCGCGGAGGCCGCGGAGAAGCCGCCCCCACAACCCCCTGCCCCCGCAGGGAGCCGCCCAGCCCTCGCACCCGTAAAAAAATGCAAAAACCCCTCCCTAAAACCCAAAGAAAACTCGCAAGTCCGCCCGGAAGGGTCTGGTTTGCAGCGCGCAAGGCGAGGAGGGTCCCCAACCTGGTGCAGCCCTCCCCCCCCCCGGGTTTTATTTGTAAGTCTTTGCAAGGTACCACAGCGCTGTGGGTGCAGCTCTGTCCTCCCAGCCCCTTCCCCACCCCCTGCCACGGTGAGACCCGGGGAGAGGTCACACACATCGGGGGGGGACGTGATTCGACAGCAACACCCCCAAAACTGCTCAGAAACCCTCGGGGTGTGCATAAACCCCGCGTGTGCTGCCCTATCCAAGTGTACCCGCCTCGTGTGTGCCCTGTGTGTGCGTGCCCTGTGCACGAAGGGTGTGTGTACCACAGGTGTGGCACACGGAGGCCCCGGGCAGGGTGGGGGCACGGTGGGATTTCCACCCAGCTGCACGGGGCACACTCCAGCTCCATCCACCCAAGCAGATCCGGGCTCCCTCCTTGCAAGGCTCCTGTAGGGAGATACAGACACTCCCTCTGCCCCTGTGAGTGTGGAGGTGCAAAATAGCCACTGCGAAACGCCCTGCCTGCAGCCCTTCCCTGCTTGGGGAAGAGCAGTGGGTGCTCCCTGTGCTCACTGGTGGGTGCTGGACACCAGCGAGCGCCTCTGAGGCTGTGCAAGGTGCAGGGAGCCTGCAGGGCCCCAGCATGGAGCTTCCCTGCCGGGATTTTTAAGGGAAATTCCCTTCTTTTTCCCCTGCCAGCTCAGAGAGGCTCCATACGGGAGATGTTTCAGCTCTGGAAGAAATGTCACACATGGATCAAAGATGATTTTTGGCTTTTTAAGTATTTGCTCTGATATATCCACAAATATGTGTGACTTTAGACAAGCCACATGTATTTTGTATAAACCACATCTACACAACCACCACTGCCTCTGAACCTGTGTGTGACTGCTACCATGGGATGTTCAGATACAGGTTTTCATTTGAGATTCTCCCAGCAGTCCCAGTCACCTCAAAATTTGGGGTACAGGTGCCTGGGCAGGTTAGTGGCTCATGGATTTGGGTGAGGAAGAGGGGTCTGGAGCTGGGTAATTTCTAAATAAATGTCTTTGTCTCAGTGCAAACCCCCAACCTTGTGGATGGCCCTTCCCTGCATTCACTGGGCACTTTGGCCGTGCGGTGCCACCAGACAAAGAAAATGGCAACAAAAGCCGCATTTTGAAGCAAGCGGGTGCACACTGAGGGAACAGCATCAGAGAAGCTCCAGGGCCATCCCCAGGCCTGCAGGGCTGTGCCAGTGGTGTAGAGGCAGCCACTGCCTGCCTGCAGCCTCCACCCTCGGCACCTGCTCCCTTTGCTCCAACCTTGACTGGACCCCGTAGTGAGACAACCCCTTCTCCCCCGAGTCCGCTCAGGGCTGCAAAGCCTTGTGCCTTCCTCCTGCCTCTCTCCCCAGCAAGTGTTTTCCTACCTCAGGTAGAGATTTTAACAGCTTGGGAGATTTTAATAGTTCACCCCAGAGGCCAAACAGTGGCTCGATGCCTTCAAAGGCACCCATGTAACCTGGTAGCTTCAGAGGGGAAGGGGGCTGGAGCCTGAAAACAAGCAAGTTCATTTATATCAGACCATCTCAGCCTGAGACGTGATGTTATCCTCAGCTTCAGCTCATCTCCAAACCAATAGCAAAAAAAAAAAAAAAAACCAGGAAAAAAAGAAACCCAAAGACTAAACCTAAACCAAATATCAAAATTTCCCTCTTGTGAGAAGAGGGGAGCTCTGTTTTGTGTCGGTAAAATTGGGTGAAGTGTCCCCCCGGCACCTACCCTGGCTCACCCAGCTGCCCAGAGCCCTCAGTCCAGCAGGTGCCTTTTCTTCTGCCTCAAAGGGCTTTGATCTGGACAGCTCTTTTGGAGAATGGCTGTTGTAAGAGATGCCTGGCACGAACACGGCCTGATTGCAGCCCAGCTCGTTAAAAAAATGTTCCCTAGGTATTGAAGGGGATAACAAGGATATTTAAACATTCCCAGCGTGCACCTTTAAGCAGCAGAAAATAAGGGAAATTGCTATCATTTAATTCAGTATTGCTCCTTTTGAACTCCCACTGGCTCTGCCTGCAATTGTTCCCTTCGCCGGAGCTCGGAGCTGACTCTGGATTACAGGGACGATGGGGCTGCGGGTCCGGAGGGCTGGGAGGGCTGAGCACAGCAGGACCAGCCTCCCCCTGACAGCAAAAGGCCGACGAGGCTGGTTTCCATTCGGGCTTTGAAAGATTTCCCTCAATAGCTCAGAGCAGGGTCCAGGTTTGGGGCCCACAGCCTCAGTTTGTAATTACTCTCGTATTTTGTGTGCGCCAGGGAGAGGGTGGAGCGGCGTTTCTTTTTTGTCTGTATCTCTGAGGAAGCTTTTTCCAAAGCGAGAGCAAAAAAATCCACAGCTGGTGTTGGTGGATGAGACACTCAGCCATGTTCTGGTGGGGGGAAAAAAAGACAAAGTCTAATTTTAGATGTTCTGAAATGCTTACAACATGCATCCCTCCAATGGCCTGGCACGGGCACCGGTGGTTATTTCCACCCCAACAGAAGGAGAGAACAGGGAGCTGGGATCCGCCGTACCCTGCACTGGGCTCTCCCCAGGTGACCCCGAGGGATCTGCCCTAGGCAGGCCCATTACTTAATATTTATGGAGAACAGCTCCTGGGCAGAGGAAGAGACAGGGTTCCTCTTATTTGAGGCAATTTGCTCACATTTTGGCTGAGCCCCTCCTGGCCAGAATTCCTTTGGGAATGTCTCTATCTCCAGAAAAGCAGCTTTGGGAGCCCCACTGATGACAGGCTCAAGTCATACTCCAACAGCCCATTGTTTAACAGGAAGTTCGTTATTTCCCAGGTTTTTTGCCCTCAACACCTATGGTCACCCCCTCCACGCTTCCCCCACGGTCTCGGTTCCTCTGCCAGCCCTGTGTGCCAGTGGAGCCCCAGCCCCATCCACCCCTCCCACACCCATCTCCCTCCCAGACTTTTCCTGCCAACCCTGCGGATTTTGGACCCAGACCCAAACAATTCCTCGTTTTCCCATTTAACCCCGAAAGAGCTGTTCTGAAGAAGCACTTGAGTACAGGAGAAGCTTTCGGGGGAGCAAAGCCCCTGCGTTCCCGCCCCGGCGTGGGGAATGTGCCATAGAGGCAGGACAAAGCGGCTCAAAGGGCTGCAGCCCCCTGCCCGAGCCGAGCCTTAGGGGAGGGTGAGGGTCTCAGCTTACCCGGCCTCTCATAAAAGTCTCCTCCATTCTAGCAAATAACCTTTATGTCCAGGGACTTGCAAAGTTTGCTTTCTCCCTCCAGGGTTAGTCACAGCAGGAGCGACAGAGAAAGCAACCGCTTGTAGGAGGTTCCTCTGCATAATAACCTCAGAGGAGTTTAGGTCTAAAGACTAAAAGGCTCTATTTACTTTCACTGACAAGGAACAATCTAAGCAGATGTCCTTTGATGGGATTAGTTATTAATCCTTGAATCATGGGTAAATGGGAAAATGATCCATTATTTTCTGCAAAATCCTTCACTACTTTAGATTTCAAGGATGGGGTGGAGGATTGTTAGCAGAAAGGTCTCGACCTGTCTGTTTTGGCCGTTTTAAAATGTATTTTTACAGTTTGTGCCGTGGAGCGTGACTCTGAAATAAAATTAAAAAAAAACCTCAAGAAAAAGGGGTTTGATTTCACTGACGGCCGAGAACAATGTGCCGAGTCAGACACTCGGCAACGATGGGCCCAAGCATTTCTTGGGTAAATACCTTGAGGTTTAAAATAATAACAACAACAACAAAACAACAACAACAATAATAATAATAATAATTACTCCCCCCTCTAAAAACATATTCTGCAAACAGCTTTGGCAGCTCTGCCTAAGTGTTTAGATCCTCCCGATGTCTCTGTGTCCCATCAGTGACAAACAGCAGCGGAGCCCCCGTCGGTCAGGTGGGGCTCAGCGTCGGCTTGGGCATCCCAGAAATAGTGTGTGTAGGTGGGTGCGATGCGTGGGATGAGGGAGGGATGGGAATTGCTGGTGAGACACACCGGGCTGGCTCAGGGGGCTCATTCTCCCCCGGGTGTAAATCCATGCAGCCGATTTCTGGTGCAGGGGGAGGTGTGGCCACACGAGCATCATCCCACGGGCTGGGGGGAAGATCCTGTCCTGCACCGAGGGGCTGGAGGACACGCTGGTGGAGCTCCTACCCAAGGGTCACCACCCCAGCCCCTTGGCCCCCACGGGAGAGCAGAACCAGGAGCTGCAGTTCCCGGCAGTTCATCCATCCCTCGGCGCTGTGGCCGCAGCTCAACGGAGTGAATATTAACAGTCCCGAGACAGCCACTCGCCCCGAACTCTGCCTCCAAGTCTCCCATGTAGGGAAAGCAGGAATAGATTCCCAATGAATAATTTACTCCGCTTTCTTTTGATTTGCGTTCTGATTGTGCACAGCAGTGCAGGCTCGGAGGGGAAAACATATTCTGATTAAAGATTTATACTGGGCCTATAATTTTGTTGTTGCTGCTTAAATCTACTTCAAAGTGGGAGTAGGGTGGCTGTAAAATAAACACTCTGGAGAAGCCAAGAGCTTTTGGACCATCTCAGGGTGCGAGTGTGGGGGTGCACAGCATGTGCAAAGCATGTGGTTTCATGGATACAAATTTTGCACTGGCTCTCTGGAAAGGTGCTGTCCCAGGCATCCTACTCATATCAAATCCAGCCAAACAGGGATTGAAATGCCCTCTGTTGTCTCAGACTACTGACTCTGGGTTCCTTCTCCTGAGCTGAGACCACATCTCAAAAAATGAGAAATAACATGAATTTGGGCTTTATTCTTTTACTACTCTTTTTCTGTTCTTTTGCTATTCTTCCATCACACAAAAAACAGTATCTGGCTGCAGG